ACATTCTAGGAGGCCAAGTGGATATAGAGTTGTTCTTCAATCGAACCAACATAGGCTGATTCTGGATCCAGATGATACTTGCGATAGGGATACAAATAAATGGCGTTTAATGGCCTACCAAGTATGGTATGAGTATAAGGCAAGGGTTTTTACCGTTCCCTGCACAAAGGTAACGGAAGTCAATAGTGTAAAAAAGTAATTTCTTACCATTTGAATGGTTTTACCTTGCTAGACAAAATATTATATTACAGTATATTCTATGACGATTTATGCTATCACTTTGCACTCATTTATCTTTATGGTAAATTACTTGCTGTATCCTAATTTTCTCAACCATTATATTTCAAAATAATGAAAGTTTCTAAGTCTTCAGTAGATGTGGTTAAATTGTATTACAAATTAGGCAAATAGAAAAAATAGGTTCAATTTACGTTAGCGAATAACTGTGTAGGACCCGAGTAACACAAATTAATTAATTTTCTTTTTATATCAACCCAAATGAATGAAATCGTTAACTATAAATCTTTAACATGGTAAACCTGAAAAAAATCCCATCAATTACCGGAAACATGAGTACCTAATCAAAACACAAGATCTTTGTCAAAGATGCAGTTTTTGCTGACCAAACTATTTCCCGTACCTTGAAAACTCTTTACCCTTACTTGGTAAACAGAAGTATGTAGGATAATACTTCGACTAGACAGTCGCCAATATCTGATGCTGACTCTGAACTCTCCAGTATAAAATGTGCTTTGTCATGCAGCTCGTCCTTGCATGTCCACTCTGCAGTAACCATTGTTCAAAGTTCACCCTGAACTATCGTCAACTGAACGACGCTTCCAAAATACTCAAATCTTCATCTGAATATCGTAAATGTTATATGTATGAACTTCCTGTAATCGTTTTTGTTTTAAGTATTGATTGGCGAATTGGCAATTATATCAAAAATGAAATGTACAATTACAGGTTTATAAATTTGTATACGCAGTGTTTTTATTTTCTTGACTTATTTTATAGTTACAAACAAGATATTAAGTATGCGCATTTCGATACGGCTAATTGTTATTGCTTACTATTTCTTACTTTTGAACACAAGTTTTAAGAAATGTGAGATTTGAATATTTTAGAAGAATATGCGTTTTTTTTTAAATATTTTTAAATTATTTTTTAGTTACAATTGTTACTTGGGTATTTTACAGTGTAATTTGTTAAGCTTTAGTTTTTTACACAATCCCTTTGGGGTTGATTTTTTGCTCTGCATTCCATTAACTGTGAATTCTAGCAAAACCCAGGAAAATTCTGATCCTTAAAATTGGTACATTTAAAAACAAAATATGGAGTCGTCGGGGTTTCTTTAAACAACTTACCCTAGCGAATTAAATGAATAAACTTAAACTAGGTCCAAAGAATACTACATATATTTTTTGCTTCAAAGACTATAATATTAAATAGTTTATTAAGGTGAAAAATGGTCGAAAGAATACCTAGCAGTGTGGGATTTTTAGCACATTCTTTTTTGATTAAATTACTTAAGAATTTATCAATTGTTATCTAGATTTGGTTACTGGTATCGTTATTTTTCTAAAAATGTTTATGCATGTTTACAATTGTCTAGCAAGATGAAACTGTATCTGGCATATATATATTTATAAATATTTATCTTGTAACTTGCCTCTCATGTATTATTGACTGTAAAAATTGTGTTTACCGTATAAATAAATAAATAAATAAATAAATTGCAATCCACTTCAATCCAGTCTTTGACATTGTTTGTTTTAATTCTTTATAGGCCTAACTCATATTTTTGATATTTAACACTATCGAACCAAAATTTTTTTGTAACTTTACATATTTAAATATTAGATTTGGTGCTATATGTATTTCAACAGGTATTTTTACTGACTTAGAGTATATTTTGTTAGCTTGATTACGAGTTTAAAAACATTCATTGGTAAAAAGGTGCTTGGACTGTGACTAGCTTACTTTTATTTTAAAATACTTTTTTAAAACATATTTCTTAGCAAGTGAGTCACATATACACTGTAGGCTTACATTGATTAATGTGAGTCAAAGTTTCCTCTACACGTATTAACCAATAGGTTAGCTACTAGATAAACCACCTCTATTTGTATTGCTGGAACTTCTGTGTAGTGTTTCGCAAGTTCAGTTGAATATCATCCAGATTCATGCTAATGTACCTAAACTAGTTTTGACATAATGTTTTGGTCATTACATATTGATTAGCTTAAGTAGAAAGTGGTTGGGTGGTGAAAGAGGGGGTTTTCGTTATAGAAAAAAATGTTAATTTTTTTAATATTCTTGTTTGCTGAGTTAAATTCTGTTAAGAAGAAATCGCAAAGGTGTAAGTATTTTAATTTTCGTGAATACCATCTAATCGGCTAAGCCAATGATTTAACTTTACATGTCAATAGTCAATCCTGTTAAAGAAATACTACGTAATATTGGATGAAGTGTTTAATTGTTAGTTATGTGAAAACCTTATAACTTAACGTTGTAAATGTGAAAGATAAAAATTTAGAGCCAATAAGATTTAATATTGCGCAGTTAGTCACACCTGTTCCGGAATTTTATTTTCAGCACCTTTCCCTAATTCAATATGTGTTGCTAAATATGCACTTTATTTTTAATTGATTTGTCGTGATTAATTTTAATTAGTTGTCATATTAGATTGAAATTAATTTCGTTACTGATAGTTGTCGATTTGTTAATACATATACGTTATAGCTTAAGAGCATGTCAATGCGTAATCAAGTTTGTAAAATAATATTAAGATGGGTAGGGGAATATATCTACTGCATAAGAAAGTCGCTTATCCTCCTTAAACTAAAATTGAGAAATGTATAAAAAAATTTCTGGAAAAGGCTTATGTATTACAGCCCATAGTGTGAAAGTAGGATACATCCTAACGTACCCTCAAACAATGCCAAACAAGTTTTGAGTAATTGTGTTAAGTCAAGGCCCTAGTGCGGCCTTGGTTAAGTGCTTCGCTCATAAGTAAATAAAATATAACCAAAGGATATGTAAAGGAAACATCTATTTTATTATCAAGATAAAGGCGACTCAGTTCACTGTAAAACTGATTCAACCATAAACTTCATATATTTATAAAGTGAGTTATCCAATACAGAAAAATTGTCCTCGCTTAAGATGACTACAATTAGTGTTGTCATAGGCGTGCCACAGCTAAAGGTCGGTCCCGAACCACAGGGACACAAAATTAGCACAAAACTAAGCATCACAGGGGATTTGTGGGTTATTTACCAACGTTCCTGGCACAGAAAGAAGTCTAACAACTGTACCAGCACTATCCTCAAATGCATGTATTGTTTTGACGCTATATGCCTTTTTCTACGATCTTCATTCTCCTACATTATATAGTTTCTCACCAACCAACGTTTAGGTAATTAGGTATCAAAGTAGTTAAAGACTTGATTTCATAACAATGGGTGCACATTATGTTAGACGACATGTCCGAGAAAGGTATTAAAAAATGCACAACTTATATTTTTGGCTACCGAATAAATTGTAGCTTTAAGCAATCGCACTCAATTACCTCAACTGTGTTTTGCTTAAATATTATGTTACACACTTCAATCTAAGGTTGAGTTTACTTTGGGTGAAAAAACTTTCCTCCGTCGAGAGAACATCCACACTTTCCGTTTAGATCGACCAGCTGAAATGAAAGTACAACACGCCAATCGTACCAACCTGCTCGATTACAAATACCAATCTGCGATAGAAATACAAGCGTTTCGTTCGATGAATTGCGTTTCTATTAAAATGCAATTTCAAAAGTTACTAGCCAATATTATTACTACTATTGAATTGCAATAATATATTTACATTTTTAAATAGCTATGTAATTATAATTATTATTTCTACTTTATTTTAATTTTATATTATGCGTCGTTAAAAAGATACGTTTGTAAACAAGAATTTAGTCTTGGTTATCTCCTTTTACTAAAAAGAAAGTTAAATTTCTTGCTTATAGTAGTGTACATAAAGCTGAAGTTGAAAAACTTTAGAAAAAATTATTTTTTACAATAATAATTTTATTTTTTTATCTTAGTTAACTAAATTTCGTATATTTTTTACCCAACTTTATTCATCCATACAAAATTCAAAGTATAGTTATTTTTCTATCCTGTAACGAAATTGTAAACACATTAACCATGGTCTATTTTAATAATAGTCCCATTAAAATTTACTACTCTATGAGTAGTTTAGTCCAATCATTACTTCACATATATATATATATATATATATATTTATATTTATATATATATAAACAAAATTATTGTGTTTATAATAAATAAAACCAACAACTAATCTTTTTCTTAATCATCCTTTAAAATGTTTCAAAACTTACTTTCTATGACTAATTTAATTTGTTTTATAAATACTAAATGAGCTCACACGGCATTCTAATTAATGCGTTGGTTTTATTAGTAAAGGTTTTTGATTGCATAAATTATTACGTAATAATGTATGTTTTAAAATTTCAAAAGTTTTTGTAATTGATCGAAGGGGAGGAGCGACGATCTTACAGTTCTGAAAATTAAAACAACAAAAATTACTTAATATAATATTGCGGATTTTTAAATTGATGAAACCATAAGGCAGAGTCTGTTATCCTTTGAAGAAACAATTCGTCTTAAATGTTGCACTTTGCGTTAAACATTCCATTATGTGCTCATTGTAACTAATGTATACACTATAGGCCAACGCACATGATCCATAATACATTTCCCGAACTATCTTGATAGGAACTTAAAACACGCGTGTTCACGCATCATTCATCCATATTTTTGAATCCCCTATAGAAAGCATTGACAATCGACGAATCAGTCCATATTAGTGAAATTGTGGAAGTCTTTGATTCAATTTTTTAACCATACAACAAAAAAGTACTATTAGTTTTTGTAAGTACAGTAACTCCTAACCCGTAAACTAACATAGTTTGAAAACAAATGTCTTACCTTTCAAAGTCATTTTCCCGTAGCTCAATCCTAACGGTTTATCCCAAATCGTCCCCATTGCACAGTTTTTGAACGCAACACAATTTACGAATTACAGTTAACCACTTAATTCATACATTTTTTTATTATGTGGAATATCAAAACATTTATTAGTAAACACAGATGAAAGTTTAAAATTAAATTCTAATATTTATTGATAGTTCTAAGATGACGAAGAATTTAGAGACGAGACGTGCGATAGTGGTTGGACGAAAGCGACGCCGATACTGAAGTGTGCGCGTCGTCACGTGTTGGCGCGTGCGTGCGTCGCGACGCCAGGCGTCATCATCGTCATCAATCACCACCTCTCTACGCGGTGGCGTCGCTGATCAACAGCTGATCACCAGCTGATCATTAAAAGGTCACGTGTAAAGTGCGTGAGTCATCAATAAGATAAATATATAGAGTAGCCTGCGTGTTTAAACATTGTGCCGCAAGGTGTAAATGGTTGATTTTATAATAATTGTTCTTTTATGAACCGAAAAAAATAAACAAAAAGTTAGCATAGATAGCTAAACTTACGTTTGTCAGCAGGTGTCACATAAAGTTATGTTTTAAAGATTCTTACTGCTCATCTTCAACAGCATTCATTGATTTAAAATCAATACAGTTAGGTTGTTAAAATAATCTGATAAACTTTCAGCTGCCTGAAAAGTCTTCAAAATGGGTGTAAACTTAACTTTCTTTGCTATTTTCTTCTTATAAAAGTTACTTTTACGAGTTATTGCCTGATATGTTTACTGCGGGGCAGTTTTTACACACAGTGTTCAAGAGCCACAATTATAGAATTTTGTTTGAGCCATAAAACTATATCCTACCCTTCTTCTTGAAGTTTTAATGAAACTGAAGTTTAATAAATAATTGTTTTTAATGTAAAAGTATAATCTTTAAGTAGGCGATTTGCTTTTGGTGATGTAAGAGAATCACTTGGACCTATTTTTGGTTCTTATTATTTGATAAAATTTTCTAGAGATTAATATTTCAAAATTAAAAAAAAAAGTACATAATCCATATATCACGCAACTATTAAAATGAGACTCTATAATAATATCATGTGGCCTTGACCAAACATTAACCCTAAGTGTTGATTGTCTCCAATAAAAATTAATATTTAAAAACAGAAACAATCTAATAAGTTTAATTTGTTTGAACACCAACACATTTTGCAATTTGACTGAAACAAATAATAATATTGATAGAGGAAGATGGATCACTAGGGACGAGACAACGTAAATATTTCTTCCCTTGAGAATTAATCGGATCTGGACAAAACTAAGTCCATTCGGAGGTCAGCCACCTCTCTCAGCTTGATCAACTTAGAGATTTTCGTATATTTTTAGGATCCGACGGAACAAACTAAAACTACATGCAGAACTTTGCTTTTACGTATATTTGTAACGTCCAACTTCTATGTATACAACAATAGTAATCTGTAAATTTATAGTTGTGAGAGTAGCCTACATTATGACTAGTAGTAGATCATTTTCAAGGCAGTGATTTAGTGAGGGCTTACAGCGGGTGACGATTGTCATCAGGACCCGGGTTTGTATCCTGCTAAAGCCCGATGGCGACCAATGGTGGTCAAAATTTCAACTTTAACTAATAGTCTATCTAATTACTACACAAACAACTATATGTTCTAGAGATATTGAGAAGTATCTTGGTAATATATGTAGATCTGTCTCAAACAAAAATTTAACTATAATTAATATGTTACTTAGAAACTGATCATAGTTTTTTTTAGGATTTAATACTGTAAAGTTGTTGCATTCAAGGGAAAACTCATAATCACCATCCGTTAAAGTTTTAATAAAACATTGCGTGATCAGATCACTTTAGTTTACTTCATTTCTGAGGTGTTGTCACCCGGATTACTTAACAATTATTAATCAAGACGTTAAAAACATTTTTGCCAACGTAATCCTTGGTAGTCTTACGGATACAGGGTTTGGCCCACTGGTGTAATTATCAAGCTCAGACGTGGTTGTCGCTCCTAGGAGGTCGTCAGAAGTTCTTCAAACCACATAACGAGACAAATAAATAGCTAAAACGAACACAAACATTTTTACAAGCGAATAAAACTGTATGGCCATACAACTCTCGCCAAGGGTTGGGTCTAGACACCCTTAATGGGGTTTCGGTTAATTGTCACTTTATTTTAGTTTCCAAATTTTTGAAATTATGAAAAGGTGTTCGTATCAATTTTGATGTGCCGGTATCTAGGTTAGTTTGCGTCATCACTTATTCGTAATCATTGATATCCTTACCAAGTCCAAAGTTACACTTTTGTCTTTAGCAATAAAATATGAAGGTATTGCCATAGAAAGGTATTATGCTAGAAAGCCCTTGAATGAGAAGTTTACTTTCTCTTAAAATGAACACATCCCAACAAATCTGTCAAATTGAACCCTTTGGGAATATTTTATTTAAATGCTAAAATTAAAAAAAAATCATTAGATGAGTTGAAAATAATAACACATTTTAACACATAGCTAGCTGTAACTTGCCAGTAATACTGCTGATAAAGTTCAACTGAAGTAATATTTTTATCGAGATACAGGATGACCAACTTCAACTAAGGCAGACCTTAAGTTACCAAATTATTCGGGAGGTCAAAACAGGCAAAAACTGTAATGCATCATGCATCTCAAATGGTTTGGCGTCTGTATGTGTGTTTTTACAAAGAAAATCATAACTCCATAAAAGTGTGAGCTACAGCGTTAAAGTTCTGCAAAAATGTTTATCAACTGGCCAAATCTTTGTGCAAAATAAGAGTAAAATATTCTAAAAAACCGTTTTAAAACGACAGTTTTTAAAATATTTTAAGCCAAATTCCACGAAAACTGTTAAGTTTACGAAAAGATTTCGTAAACTTTGTGTATGTAAAATGTAGTAAATTTTATGCGGATTCCGTTGATATCTCATAAGCTTAGTTTGTACAAATAATACCTGATAAATCAATTGTTTTCTATATCTACAGTTATCTCCATTTAAAGAATGTTAAATAAATAAGTTCTTCATTGTTTCTCCATATGAATAACAAAAGATATTTTAAACCTTTATTTTTACACAATGCATTATACACAAAAAGTCTTTAAGCTCTACTCGATAGTTGTAAAGAAAATTGGGGAGAAATTGAAAAAAACCGATTTTATTTTATTTTATTGCCATGTACTCATAATTCGATCTTCAAGTTTGACCAGTTCTGCACTTTCGTACCAATTTGTATATGAATTGGACCAAAATTACTCGAGTTATTGTGTTTAGGAATATACATATGTGCCTCTGGGGAAATTAAAATGGAAAAGATAATCGGTCCCGGGTTCTTCCACTCTAGGTGCTGGCAACGGAAATATAAATTAGCATTCCCTACAAAGAAATTTTCTAAAAAGAGGGAATTCCCAAATTATTGAGGAAAACTTTTGAAATATATGGTTTTATAAATTGCATTCAATATTTCCAATACATGACTTTTACAACAGTGAAAGTGGCATCGAAAACGACCACTCACTGTGTTTGAAGTCACAGTCAAATACAAATGATTCAAATCAAATAGCGATGTTTACTATGACAAATATGAAACTTGATCAAACATAAAAGTAGCGAACGCTTTCATTCGCTTTTCGTCAGTATTGTTCAAAAGTGTTGTAATACTTTCACAATGATCATAAATATTTTATTGAATTGGTAGAGTTGAATAGTTAAATAATAAATATTTTAGGGTTAAATATTTTAATTGTATTTTGTTACGGGACACATTATACGATGTTTTTTTTTTATCATGATTGCCAAATATATATATATAACTTATACAGGGTGAATTTTAAATGAATTCCCCCCCTACTTTTTTCTACATTTCTTAAAATATCAACGTCGGACCACGTCAGATCATTGTAGTGTAGTAAGTACTTTATTTTGACTGGATAAACATTTTTGGCCGCCATCTTGGATCCGCCATATTGGATACAAAATTTTTTTTCAAATGTAAAGGTAGGGTTGTGACCCATTGTTTCAAACTAGAATTTTACGCTGATTACAATGCCGCAATTAGTTTTAAAAAATCTTAATCCGTTCTAAAGTTATGAGGACTTTTTATAACTTTATTTTTAGCCCATTTTAACATTGTGCATTTACAAACTAAGACCATAATCTCAAAATAGTGCTAGATAAAGATAAGTATACACCACCATTTATTGTCGACCTATTATCACTTGGTTATGACGGATGTATTTTTTTGGCCGCCATCTTGGATCTGCCATTTTGAAATGTGATAAATTAATTTAAATATGAAGGTGATGTTGTGACCCATCATTTCAGACTAATTTTTATGCTGAATTCAATGCCGCAATCCGTTTTCGTTTCTCAGGCTTTCTTGATGAAATATTAAAATTATCTTACTTAAATTTCCAATATTAAAAAAAAATATGAAAATGCAAAACGGATTGCGGCATTAAATTCAGCATAAAAAAGTAGTCTGAAATGATGGGTCACAACACCACCTTCATATTTAAATTAATTTATCACATTTCAAAATGGCAGATCCAAGATGGCGGCCAAAAAAATACATCCGTCATAACCAAGTGATAATAGGTCGACAATAAATGGTGGTGTATACTTATCTTTATCTAGCACTATTTTGAGATTATGGTCTTAGTTTGTAAATGCACAATGTTAAAATGGGCTAAAAATAAAGTTATAAAAAGTCCTCATAACTTTAGAACGGATTAAGATTTTGTTAAACTAATTGCGGCATTGTAATCAGCGTAAAATTCTAGTTTGAAACAATGGGTCACAACCCTACCTTTACTTTTGAAAAAAAATTTTGTATCCAATATGGCGGATCCAAGATGGCGGCCAAAAATGTTTATCCAGTCAAAATAAAGTACTTACTACACTACAATGATCTGACGTGGTCCGAAGTTGATATCTTAAGAAATATAGAAAAAAGTAGGGGGGGAACTCATTTAAAATTCACCCTGTATAGATTTACTACTTATATATAACTACTTTCTTAGATTTCTTCAGATAACATAGTGTTTTTACATTAATTCACATTATTTATTATGTTTGTAACTAGTTACGATAGTATTTCCAATTCACCGTCAAGATGATAACTTTAGTAACATTTAATGTGTACCAAGAATTACTTATGTTTACTAAGTGACCTAAGAATATATGTCTATACACTTAACACTACT